AATTCCCCAATTTGGCCAATTTTTTTCAAAAGATTTTTTTTTTTCCCCCTATTTTTTCAAATCCAAAAAAAAAAAAAAAAAAAAATTGATTCTATGTTATTAATGTGTCCACCATTCAATGACAATCATCAATCTTTTTTCACTTTTTCTCTTCTCTTGCTGTATCCCTTCATCAAATACAAAATATATTCATCCAACCAACCAGCCACCACTATTATCATCATTATTGACTAAACAGAAACAAAAAAATAATAATAATGATATAGTATTAATGCTAAACGTCAAGTAATTCTAACTGATTTCTCTCTCCTTCATTCTCATCTTTGATCATCTTTCATTCATTCATTCAATTGATGGTTATGCAGAAACAAAATCAAGGATGCAATGATTATCATCATCATTTTGGATTCGATTACCAAAACAGTCATGTGTTTTCGTGTGTGTGTAAATGTGTGTGTAGATGTAATATTTGCATTCAATTAGGGATTCTTATTATTTTTATATTCTTATAATGCAAAAAAAAACAGAAAACTACACTGATGGTAGATCATTATTACCATTATCATCATCATCATCATTATCAAACAATAAAAACGAAATTGCTTCCCATATTTTTCTTTGTTCTTTGCAATGAATATAATCGGATCAATATTCAGGCAATTTTCTTTTGCCAAACAAAAAAAAATACATTATATTCGTTATTGAACATCACATTGCATTGTGTGTTTGTGCTATACTGTTATATTGTATATATGTTTTCAATTAAAAATATTGGTTAATTGATTTATAAGAAGAAAGTGGGAAACATATATAGAGAAAATTGACAACAGAAAATGTTGTTTGATACTGATGATGCTAATAATAGGTCTAAATAAATACTGAAGCAAAAAAATTTCAACTTTTTTGTTGTTGTTGTTGTTGAATAGTTGCTTGTCATTTAGGAAAGTGATTAGAAAAGAAGTAAAAGAAAAAACATGATGCAAAAACAACAATCTTGTCAAACTTGTCACAGGGCAAAGCAAAAAAAATAAATTCATGTTAATCATGATGATGGAATGAGAAAAAAATAACGAATTTGCTACTAATTAACTAAAACTAATCAGAATGGATTGACAAGAATCATTCCTATGTAATTAATTATGACTATCATTTTATTATGAACACAACGACCAAAAGAAAAAAAATCCTATAAATCAAAATACTTTCAATGTATAAATGAATGGATCATAAGCTTAATTTTCAATCTTCAATCAAACAATCCAATCAATTTATTTAATGATCAACAATTAGAAATGATTATTTCAACAACAACAGCAACCTAAATTGAATTCAAATTATGATTGGATTTTTCTGTTTTGTTTTCGTTCGTTCATTCATTCACTTCTGTCTCACTTTTTTTTTGGTCAAAACAAACACAAAATAAAATAATCTTTTCTTTTTTTTCACTCGTGCAATAATGGATAAATAATGAGAAAAATTTTTTTTTTTACAAAATAAGTATTTAAGTAGTTTTTTTTTTGGTGGGCTTGAATCAATGAAGCAGTGTGCCTCGAGCTTGCTTTCTTTGAAGAAAAAAAAAGATGAACTACAATCGAATTCAATTATAGTAATTGGATTATCACCCGACAACAACAACAACGAAAAATTGAATGAATAAGACTTTATTCGTGGTCATTGTTCCGATGATAATGACAATAGAATTCATTACACACAAACAAAAAAAACTGAGAATCATTTGTGTGTGTGTGTTTTTGCACGTTAATGATAAGAGATAATTGATCTTTGTTATTTGATATTTTGAAAAAAAGAGGGGCGGGAGAGAAGGGAGTAAAAAAAAATTCAAATATCATTACACAATTCATTGTTCATTGATTGATTGATTGATTGAACTTGAACTGTCCGGTGAAAATGATTAAAATATTTTCTACTTGATCACCGAAATCATCCAAAAAAAAAAAACAAACCAATCAAACAGATGTAAAATTTCACATCAATTTTAGACATTTTTCAAAACAAAACAAAAACAAAAATTTAATTAAGAAATTGAAAATCAAACCTATTTTTCGGCTACCATATGATGTTCTACATAGAGACAAAGTATTAAGTGTGTGAGAGAAAGTGAAAAAGATTTTAATCGAAAAATGATGATTTACAAAGCTTGATTGAAATCATTCATTCATTCATTCATTGTTTTGTCAATGAAAAGAAATGAATTGAATGGAATGGGAAAGAAAAAAATTGTTAATCGGATCAACATTTATCGGATACGATGATGATGATGATGATGATAATGATAGTAGTTAGTTAACATCAAACATCAAACAACATCGAACAACAACGAACAAAAAAACTAAGTAATTTATTTTGATTGAATGATTTCATCAAACAGGATGATGATGATGATGATGATTTATAATTGATTTGATAATTTCTTACTTTGAGTGTGCATCTTGTAAAAACGGTGAAAGTTTGTTTTTCCTTCTTCTTAGAAAAAATACTCTTTTGATCCAGAAGAAGAATAGGAAAGAAAAACGACAAGAAAAATTCAATTAACTTATCATTATTTATATGTTGCACAGACAAACAGAGAGACAAACATTTGACAAATGATTTAATTGATTTTTTTTGTTTGTGAATCAAAAAATCAATTAAAATTTCTTTTTGTTTTGTTTTGTTTATCCAATTATCATCATTAAAACAAGAAGAAAATCTAATGAATCTATCAAAATAGG